CACGGGCTCGTCCCAGCAGCTACGGCCCGCGGGCTCCAGCGTCACGGTTGCGGCCATCTCGGTCTTGGAGAAGCAGGGGCGGCCTGGCTCGCTGGAGTCGAGGGCGGGGCCTGCGTCCCTTCACCTCCCTGGGGATCAGCCGCTATTGGACCCCTTGCGCTCACTACGGGCCACCGGGCTGGCTGGCTTGTTGACACCTTCTAAGCCGCTGTGTGAAGTCTTCTAGAATTGGTGCACATTCTCGAGTGCCTGAACAGGATAAAGTCTCTGCTAAGAGTTAATTACTAACCCTGCAATCCAATGTGGTGAGTGTTGAAACAGAGGTACAAAGACCGCTGAGAGTTAAAGGATTGGGAAAGATATGGAACATTCCAGGAGTCTGGACTTCTAAGAAAGCTTCTCTGATGTGCACAGTTGACCTTTGAACAAGGGGCGGGGTGCGGTTAGGGACGTCAACCTCCGGCACAGTCTAAAATCTGTGTAACTAGTAATTAAGGGGATCAGTGGAGGAGCGTAGTCCTAACCCCTCCCTGATCCCTCAGTCCTTTCCCAAGCCTTTTCCCAGCGCGAAGGGTCCCTAAAGCGGCTTCCAGAGCAGGTAGCTGTTTCTGGGGTAAGACCTCCCTGGGTTCCAGGCTGGCCCTGCTCCTTTTAATAGTCTGGTGATTCTCATCTAGCTACGTAATGAAGCCCGTGACTCCAGTTTCCTTATCTGTAAAAGTTTTTTGGGTGACGATCACAGTTCTGGTCACACGCAGTGTCAGAGTTGAGTTGTATCAGACTACTGGCAGGGAAAAAAAGTGGCACTTTCAAACTGGGTAATTTGAGGAGCGTTTCAGAACGGGACTATTTGCAAAGAAATGGGCAAGGTTAAAAAAAAAATGGTTTGTCGCAGAGCCTTGGGTCTGAAGGCTCAAGGGGAGAGGGCTGCCTGGCATGGGTGTAGCCTTCATAGAGGGAGGGCAGGCACCCATGGTGAGGTGGCAGGAGTGGTGAGAATGAAAACTTTGACCTCATTCTCCTCTTGCCCTTGGGTATCTTGTGAGTTTTCAAAATAGCCACTTGCTCTCTTTGGCTGAACCTAACCATACAGCTCAGCCTACGTGGGTATAAAGCAGGGTGGAGAACGGTAGATGGAGCGCATGGAAGATGCCCAGCAAATGGAGGCTCAATAAATTTTATAAACTGAACAAAAAGATATCAGATGAGGTCCCCAGTCTCAGAGTTCCGAGAGCTTTCCCCAGTCCACCTCCTTCAGTAATTGCTGCAGCATATTTTTTTAATTTAAATTCTTTATTGTTGAAAGTATTACATATGTCTCCTTTTCCCCCCATTGACTTCTTCCCGGCTGCTCCCTGCAACATATTTTAAACACCTGTTGTTTAAAGTGTTTCAGGTTGGCCTAAGCTGGTTTGGCTCTGTGAATAGCAGTGATGGCGAACCTTTTGAGCGTGGCATGTCAGCATTTTGAAAAACCCTAACTTAACTCTGGTGCCGTGTCACATATAGAAATTTTTTGATATTTGCAACCATAGTAAAACAAAGATTTATATTTTTGATATTTATTTTATATATTTAAATGCCATTTAACAAAGAAAAATCAACCAAAAAAAATGAGTTAGCGTGTCACCTCTGACATGCGTGTCATAGGTTCGCCATCACTGGACTGAAAGGTCCTGGCTTTGATTCTGGTCAAGGGCACATGCCCCAGTTTGCGGGCTCAATCCCCCATAGGGAGCGTGCAGGAGGCAGCTGATCAATGATTCTCATCATTGATATTTCTGTTTCTCTCCCTCTCCCTGACTCTCTGAAATAAAAAATATATGTATTTTAAAAATAAAAAGTGTTTCAGGCTGTCCTCCATATAGAAACACACAGCTTCCAAAAAATTTATGTGGGCCGCTGCAGCCACCAGCACAATAACTGTAGATAACATGATAATATAGTATATATAGAACCCGAAAGATTCCACCAAAAAACTATTTAAACTGATAACTGAATTCAGTAAAGTATCAGGAGACATAATAAATATCCAGATGCATTTTTATACACCAATAATGAACTATCAAAAAAATGCAGTGGGATAAATTTTTTTATTGATTGATTTTAGAAAGAGGAAGGGAGGGAGAGATTTGTTGTTTCGCATATTTATGCATTTCTTAGTTGCTTCTTTTATGTTCCTTGATTGAGGGTTGAACCCGCAGCATTGGCATACCACGGCGATATTCTAATCAACTGAGCTACCCAGTCAGGGCCCTTAGAATAAATTTAACCAATGATATAAAAGACCTGTACTTGGAAAATTATAAGACACTGAAGAAAGAAATTGAAAAAGATACAAATAAGTGGAAGCTGCCCTGGCCAGGTAGCTAAGTGAAATAAGCCAGTCAGAGAAAGACAAATACCATAAAATTTCACTTATATGTGGAATCTAATGAACAAAATAAACAAACAAAATAGAAACAGACTCATAGATACAGAAAACAGACTGACAGCTGTTAGAGAGGAAGAGGGTTAGGAGCTTGGTAAAAAAGGTGAAGAGATGAAGCAAAACAACAACAAACACACACACACACACACACACAAAAACCCACTCATAGACACAGATACTTTCCCCCATCATTTACATCTTGCATAAATGTGACAATTTGTTATTTGATGAGCTAATATTGATACACTATTATTAACTAGAGTCCATAGTTTATGTTAGGGATCACTCTTTGTGTTGTACATTCTATGGGTTTTAACAAATGTGTAATGATGTTTATACACCATTACAGTATACACAAAATAGTTTCACTCTCAAAATTCCTGTATGTTCCATCTATTCCTCCCTCCCTTCCTTCCTCCTCCCCAAGTCTTTGGCAACCACTAATCTTTTTGCTGTCTCCACAGTTTTGCCTTTTCCAGAATATCACGTAGTTGGAATCCTATAGTATATAGCCTTTTTGGATTGGCTTCTTTCGCTAGCAATATGCACTTAAGTTTCTTTCATGTCTTTTTGCTGCTTGATAGCTCATTTCTTTTTACTAATGAACTAGAAGCCCAGCGCACAAAATGATGCACGGGTAGGGTCCCTAGGCCTAGCCTGCGATCAGGGCCATCTTCCGCCCGCTCGCCAGTCCCCAGTCCCGCCCCGCCACCACCCACCCCGGTTCCCCGTTGATCATCCAGCGATTGGAGCCTGTGGGATGAGGGGAAGGACCGAGAGGTGGTCAATGCACCTCATAGCGACTGGTCGATCGGTCGTTGTAGTCGTTATGCCGTTACGGTTGCTGGCCTTTTATTGGATAGGATAATATTTCATTTATGGATGTACCTCCACTTGTTTATTCATTTATCTATTAAAAGCTATCTTGGTTGCTTCCAAGTTTTGGCAATTATGAATAAAGCTGCTATAAACATCTGTGTGCAGGTCTTTGTGTGGTCATGAATTTTCAACTCCTTTGGGTCAATACAAAGAAATGCAATTGCTGGATTATATGGTGAGAGTATGCCAAACTGTCTTCCAAAGTGGTTATACCATTTTGAGTTCCTACTAACAATGAGTGAGTTTCTGTTGTTCTTAGAGACTGGAAGGGATGGGGAGAGACAGAGAGAGAAACATTGATGTGAGAGAGACACATCGATTGGTTGCCTCCTGCACACACCCTGACCAGGGCTGGAGATGGAGCCTGCAACTAAGGTACATTCCCTTGACCAGATAGAACCCCACACCCTTCAGTCCACAGGCCTAAACAACCACTAATCAACCAACTAGGGCTTCATGACCTTATTTGCCATGAGGGGTCCAATCTTATGCCTGTTTTTAAAATATATATTTTTATTTATTTCAGAGAGGAAGGGAGAGAGATAGAAACATCAAGGATGAGAGAGAATCATTGATGGGCTACCTCCTGCAAGCCTACAGTGGGGATCAAGCCCGCAACCCAGCCATGTGCCCTGGCCTCCTGGTTCTTAGGTCGACACTCCACCACTGAGCCATGCCACTCAGACTTGTGCTTGTTTTTTAATTGGGTTGTTTGTTTTCCTATTGTTGAGTTTTAAGTTATTTGTGTATTCTGGATACCAGTCCTTAATGAAATATGTGTTTTGCAGAGATATTTTTTCACAGTCTATGATTGTCTTTTCAATCTCTTAACAATATACTTTTAAAAAATCAATTTGAGACAAATACATTGATACTATGTACTAGGGATTTAAAAAAATAAATGAGACCTTTTATATCTGTAGGGATTTCACAGTGTAGAGGGGAAACTGACCCATAAGTGGTAAGTACAAACATGTTATAGTAGCTGCTATACACAGGTACATATAACATAGACTGGGGAACCAGGGACAGAATGGTCAACAGCACATGTTGTGGGTCAGAGAGAGATTTACAGAGGGACAGCTTATGTAAAGGCAAGAAGTTCGACATGTTGAGAGTGTACTGTTGTAAGAGGAACAGTGAGAGATGTGGCTAAGAGGAGCAGGAGACAGATCACTGAGATTTTAATTAGATAAGCATACATGATCAGAATTGTATTTTAAAAAAATTACTTTGGCATCAGAGTAAAGATGATTTGGGAAAAGATTAAACTGTGAGTCCAGGTAGGAGTTAAAAAGAGTGCCCAAACTGAAGCATGGCTTTGCTTTAGATATGGAGGAGACAGTCTGAGGAAGAAAGTAGTAATATCATCAGGTCTCGCTGATGGGTATAGGAGAGAAAGAGGAAGAAAATTGGTAATCAATAATCACCTGTCTTTTTTGCTTCTCCTGAATGCATTTTGCTGTCTGTGTGGAGTAATATATTGTCTCCAGTAGTAATATTAATTTCATTTATACTCATAATTTTAGATAATTGCCTTTAGACAATACAGATTATAAACTATGGAAATGAATTGTTTCCTGATTCTAGTTTATGTAGTTTATATACCAAATTTTGAATGGTCTTGAATTAAGGTGTGTTTTATGTGATTTAATAATTTAGATTATAAACATACATACAAAAAAGCAAAAAAAACCACCCACGAAACAAAACAAAAAATAAGCATACATACAAGGGTGTATGTCCTAGGTCATGATGTAAAATGTATTTTTTCCTGTAAGGTATAGTGAATAAAGATGGAAAAACACTGAAGTGAAGCATGTTTATTATTGTTTAATAATAAGGTACTATATCTACAGTGTTAGATCACAAAAATTCTCTCCTCTAATATACATGATACACGACTTTTAAGTTGTCTCTCAACTCACCAGTCTCAGAAAATTACTTCATTTTATGGTTTGTATTATTTTTTTTTATCATTCTGGTAAAATATATCAACAATTCTTTTTTTTTAAATATATTTTTATTGCTTTCAGAGAGGAAAAGAGAGGGAGATAGAAACATTGATGATGAGAGAGAATCATTGATTGGCTGCCTCTTGATGCCCCCTACTGGGAATCGAGACCGCAACCCTGGCATGTGCCCTTGGTTGGAATCAAACCCAGAACCCTTCAGTCCCTGGGCCCGCACTCTATCCACTAAGCCAAACCAGCTAGGGCTATCAACACTTCTTGATTCCACCTTTGGGTATATAGCTGAAGAAAGCCAAACACTAATTCAAAAGAATATATGCACCCTTTGTTCATTGCAGCATTACTTACAATAGCCAAGATATAGAAGCAACCCAAGTGTCCATCAGCAGAGGAGTGGATTAGAAAGCTGTGGTACATATATACAATGGAATATTACTCAGCCATAAAAAAGAATGAAATCTTACCTTTTGCGACAGCATGGATGGACTTAGAGGGTATTATGCAAATGAAATAAGTCAGTCAGAGAAAGACAAATACTATATGATCTCACTTATGGTATGTTTATTATTGTTTAATATTATTACAGTACCGGGGAGGAGCCTGCCACCGAGGTACATACCCTTGACCAGAATCGAACCACTGAGCCAAAACGGCTAGGGCTTTGTTGTATATCTTTAATTGAATCTTCTACAATAGGCATGTGCTACATTAGTAAAATTAGTGAAAAAATAACATTCAAAAAAATTACCTAAAATATAACATTAATACCAATGACATGAAGTTGATATGATTCAGGGAACAATTTATTCCCGTATGATTATTAAACACTAGACTTGGACTTGTATCTCTCATGTCAACAACAAACCAATGCATTACAATTTGGGGGGAGCTCCTTTCTGGGTACCTCCAAGATGTGTGCAGAAAAAGGCCAGAATTTGCTTCCAAGCATCTATCTGGGCCTTAGAATGAGCCCTGGGCTCCCCACCCCAGACCACAGGCTTATCCAGTAATCTGTGCAGGGAAGCTGGGCACATGGGAAAGTAAGGAGGCTCGATGTAATGCCCAGTGCCAGGGTAAGAGATGACCTGAGGTTTTTCCTTCCCATGGGTCTGTAGCCGTTCAGAGGCTATTTGGGCATATAACTCACTCCTCCAGTTATGGTCGTCCTGACCAACGATGAAGAGGATAGGCCCCTGGGCCTTCTCTATTGGAATCATGCTGGGGTTTTCACACCCTCCTACAATATCATTCCGTATATCCACAATGTCCAGGAGGCCTGAGAAATGTGTCTTGATTCTCCTCAGGTCATGGCCCAATGGTGGGATGCAAGTATCCTTGTAGCATATGGCTTTGCTTCCACTGAACCCAGATCCATTGATGGAAACTGTAGCTGAGATGTTCTTCAAAAATGAGGCCATGGAGAGACAAATATCAGCCCCTAAAGAAATGCCCAGAAGGCCAATGCCTGGGCCTTTTACCTGGAAGAAAAGAAGGGAGAAGAGTCAAGAGTCAAGAACCTACCCAATAGAAAAATGCTTTTCTAAATGCAACTAGATGTGCCGCTAGATTTAATATGTGAACTGGGCACAAGAGAATCAAACTAAGCTGATAGTTTCTTCCCACATAGTAAAGAATATCTGGCTGGACACACAGCAAACACATCTTTAACTCACTGGCAAGTTTGGGAATTGGTTACACACATTCCAGAGAATCGATTGTCCATTAGAGAATGCTGAGTCATGGAGCCTGGCAAGTTTAGGTGGGCATGGCCAATGTCTCAACATGCCTGGGTATCTAACTGCATGGAACCAAGTTCTGTTTCAAGAAGTGAATCATTTATCAGACCCCATCAAAATATGCCAGCAAATGATTAACTTTATACAAACAAAGTGAGATTTCAGCTTAGCTTCTGAAATGGGTGGGCAAATTCTGATCAAAATCTGAGAACATACTCTGTTGTCAGAAAAAGATTAAAAAACAAGTATACAAAACTAACAAATCAGAAGCTCCATAACAATAGGAATTTTAATATTACTAAATAATTCCTTTAAATAAAATCTCACATGTATTTTATGGTTAATTCTGCATTGTGACTCCATCTGACAGAGAAAGTGGAACTAGGCACATAAAGTCAAGGAGTCTCCAAAAGAAATCTCTGTGAAAGAGAGTAGAGCACCATCAGAAGAGTATCACTGGCACAAATGCGTGCAAAGTGATTCCTTCTGGAGATATATGGAGAGAGAATGATACGATAAAGGACATTAGGAGAACCTGAGAATGTTGAAGCATGTAGCACAGGGCTTCTTCAAAGTAGTCCGTATTTCTGCTGTCGAATTCCTTGGGGAGATCTTCAAAGCCGTAATAAGCTAGAGCCATTGTGGCAAAGCCATGGCCAGCCAGAAGGCTGGCTCGATATTCCAACAGGCCCCCTCCAACACCAAAGAGATCAATGATCCCGGGGAAAGGTCCAGGTCCTAGAGAAGGGAATATTATAAAAGGAAGGTATTGTATTATTTAAAGGTTTTGCTTTCCTTTTAGGCATCTTTCTAAATTATTTAGTGGGTTCATGTGAACCAAAGGGAAGAAAACAGCTCCCTGAATCACTACTGAAAAGGAAAGGAAGGTCCTTAGGGGAAGGAAAACCTATAGGGTACCTTCTCATTGATGAGTTTACCCTTCATATGATTCTATGATAAATTATCTGCAAGAGAAGTAGACACAGAATCAAGAATCAAAGGGCACATGCCTGGGTTGCAGGCTCAATTCCTGGGGATCCAGCAGGAGGCAGCCAATCAATGATTCTCATCATTGATGTTTCTATCTCTCCCTCTCCCTTCCTCTCTCTGAAATCAATAAAAATATTTTTTAAAAAAAAAAGAATCTTAAAACAAAATTTTGTGTTGTATTGCATCAACCCTTGGCTTTTTGTTGTGTATTCATATTTCAGCTGTCTATTTAGATCGAGATAAGAAATACCTAGAGATGACTTTAGGTGAAGAAGGCCGGAAAGTCTGAAGTGTGCTCTGTGGTAGAAAGGAATGTGAAACGGAGGCGAGGCCCAGTGTACCCAGGCCACTAGGGAAGGGTGACATGGCAATAGCTTCCTTGACCATCATTTTGCGGGGACCTGTACGGCTGATGCTGAGAGACCTGTAGAGTAGTTCATAGCAAAGTGGACAACATACCTACCGACCCTGATCCGGCTTTTTTTTTTTTTTTTAAATCTGCGTAACAGTACCCACCTCATTGGGATATCATATAAATTAAATGAGATTATGCAAACGAAGTACATAGCTCAGAGCCTAACATCAAAACACTCTGTTTTGGTTGCGCGGCCACTTATTTAGTCAAATGCCAACCTCTCTGACCCTGCCTCCGAGCCAAACTCTCCTAACGCAGTACAGCAACCACTAAGGGCCAAGCGCACCTGCTCGCGCATCTGCGGCCGCAACCCGGGCTCACCTGGCGGCAGGAAGAGCGTGGCGCGCACCCG